CTTTCAATTAAGCAAGGAGTTCCACTCCATTATAATTAAGGGAAGAGTTCAAAAGTAAGATATTAACTATACACAATTTAAAAATCAAGTTTTAAGTTTGATGAATGCAAAATCAGGTTTTTAGTTAATTAATTAAATATATAAAATCACAGTTATATAATTAATGGTCACATATACATAATTATAGGTCACAGGTCACATATTTTAAAATTAATTGATCACAGATTATTTCGAGGTCACAGATTTAAAATTTTGTACATCACAAATTATTTCGAGATCACAGATTTTTAAATTAGTTGGTAAAAGATTATTTTTAAATCACATATTATTAAATTTTTAAGTCACAGTTTAGTAATTGGTCACAAATTACCAACATTTGATCACAGACTACCCCCACTACCACTATGACCACTTTCGATCACCCTCACCACGACGCAACAGCACCAACAAAGTCACTAACAACCACCTCCACCACATCACATCACACCACCCACCACAAACCCGCCACCACCAACAAACACAGTCTCCCTGTACAAAACAAAGAAAAACAAAAGGTTTAGAGAGAGCAGGGCAAATGCGTGGACCACGACCAAAATGCTGATCTCCGCCAACATTACCTCCACCACACCACCACCGCGCTTTCTCTCACTCCACAACCATCTCCCTTCCTCCGCCTCTGTACCTCGCCCTTTCTCAACTGCCAAAACTCACCTCTTTTCACTCTCTATAACCCCCACACACCACCATGCCCTATTTTTACCATTTTCCACTAATTCCTCAGTCACTAACACTGACATTATCACCGACATCTCCAGCGGCGGAGGAAATGGAGAAATCGGCAGAGGCAGCAACAACGGCGATGACGGAGGTGGAGACGAGAATGGAAATAATTGGAATGATGATAGTAATAAGAAGAATAGAGATGAAGCTCTAATGGCAATGGCGTTGGCGCCGTTAAACGAGGGAGAAAGTAGAGAAAATAAGAGGAGGGAGGGGGAAAAATTAGGGTCAGGGATTTTATATATTACCTGATTTTTGAATAATGAAACTTGATCCCTGATTTTTGAATTTCAATTTTCAAACATCTGAATTATGTAATTTCCCCTATATATTTACTTATAATTTATATAAGTAAAGAGTTAATTTAATCAACACTCATTTAACTTTAAACTTGTTACCACTTATGCCCTCACGCCACCAATTGGGAGAAGAGAGGGGGGAGGGAGGAGAGGAGGCGAGGGACAAAGGGGAGGGAGTAGAGAGGTAAAAATTAGGGCTAGGGGTTTTATATATTACCTGATTTTTGAATAATGAAACTTGATCCCTGATTTTTGAATTCCAATTTTCAAACTCCTGAAATTAAGTAATTTTCTCAAAATGCTGGGCCTGAGACGGGAGCTCTTGGGTCTCTTCTTAGGTCCGGCCCTGCTCATGACCCTAAGTTTGACTCAAATCATCCTGCTTTAAAGCCATTACAAGTTATTGATGAATCTACAGGCCAGCAACAAGTGGTTTACTCTGTTACTATCCCTAATTCTATCTTGATAAAGACACGTAGGTCGAGAAGTAATTACCCGATGTGGTGTAGTCAAAATGCCTAACTAATTAGACTACTACACAAAAAATCGACTGTTTTTTTCTTACCCAATTGAAATGTTTGAACTTTGAATTCTTCATCCAACTGTCCTATCACGTGCCGTACCGGTGAACACCCATCTTCAGTTACAAATTCTCCTCTTTTATACCTCTGCCCTAACACTCTCAGATCTCAATCCCCCCTTCTCATTCTAGTTCTTGTCGAAATCCAAACAATGGCAGCAATTGAGCCTTCGACCCCATTGCTGAAAGATGAGTTAGATATAGTGATTCCGACCATCAGAAACTTGGATTTTCTCGAAATGTGGAGACCCTTTTTCCAGCCATACCATTTGATCATTGTTCAAGATGGAGATCCATCAAAAAAAATCAATGTCCCAGAGGGTTTTGATTATGAACTCTACAATCGAAATGATATAAACAAGATTCTGGGTCCTAAGGCTTCGTGTATTTCGTTTAAGGATTCGGCCTGCCGATGCTTTGGCTACATGGTGTCAAAGAAGAAGTATATCTTCACCATTGATGACGATTGCTTTGTAAGATCCGAAACCCAGTTTTTACATTTTTAGATTTGATTTTTTTTTTTTGGGTTTTAAGATTTAATCTTGATCTGTTGAATTTTATTATCGAACACTGGTGGCTCAATTGGTCAGGCATTGGGTTTGCTCCCAATGGTCACTAGTTCGAGTCTCCCCTATGCACTGAGGTGAGTCAGGGTCAAAATTAGTCGAGGTGCGCGCAAGTTGGCCCGGACATCCACGGTTATCAAAAACAAAATTATCGAACACTGGATTTTGTTTTTATGTGTGAAAGATTGTATTTTGATCTATAATATGGTGTGGATTATATATGATATTTTCTGAATGATTTTGGTTTTGCAATGATGGGTCTGTTCTTTTATCATAATCTTCAGTTTTTTTAGTGTTCGTTAAAAGATTAGATTTTGATCTGTGGATAAAGTCGATGAATCATTAAGCATTAGCTCCAAATGTGGCTCAATTCTGCTAAAGGTGGAGCGAATTATGTGAATTTTTTTATGCTCGGCCTTGGTTTTTTTGATCTTGATATGCATTATGCATGATTAAGATTAAAATTTTGTAGCACGAGAAAATAGGTTTATATTTTCATAAAGGATATATGTTAGAAATTTTTTATATGATTAAACCCCCCACCCCAAAGTACTTATATCATTCAGGTGCTTTATGTTCTACCTACCTAGTTTTAAGATGGGGGACCGGAGATGTTTTGAATTTTTCATTTATACATTTATTGATACACAGGTTGCTAAAGATCCAACTGGAAAGGAAATTAATGCACTCGAGCAGCACATCAAGAACCTTTTGAGCCCATCAACGCCATTCTTCTTCAACACTCTTTATGATCCCTACCGAGATGGTGCAGATTTTGTTCGTGGATACCCATTCAGTCTTCGTGAAGGTGTACCAACTGCAGTGTCACATGGGCTTTGGCTTAACATCCCGGATTATGACGCACCGACACAGCTTGTCAAGCCTCGTGAGAGGAACACTAGGTGTGAAATTGAAATCATTTTTTCTCAAGTCTTTGGTTGACGTAGATCCTTTGAGACTATTAGATACTTATATTATATGTTTTCCTATACAGGTATGTGGACGCAGTAATGACGATACCAAAAGGAACCCTGTTCCCAATGTGTGGCATGAATCTGGGTTTTAACCGTGAATTGATTGGCCCAGCAATGTACTTTGGACTCATGGGTGATGGCCAGCCAATTGGACGCTACGATGACATGTGGGCTGGCTGGTGCACCAAGGTATTGTTATTTACAAAGATGCTGTATTTTTACATTCAAACTGTGCAAATTCTTGTGTACAAATTCATTTAGAATCTGCACGCCTTTTCTTCATGCTTCGCTTTTTATTGGGATCCATGATTTTGAACTGTGAACTAACATTTTCACATCAGTTATGCATGAGCACGAACACAGTTTCATATCTTGAGTTTATACGGTAACCGTACCTAAGATGTCCTACTGGTTTTGGCTGATCTTGTTTCTTAAACGCTTCTTTTCTTTTTGTCTTTCCCGTTGCATAGGTGATCTGCGACCACTTGGGATTAGGAATCAAGACAGGACTTCCTTACATTTGGCACAGCAAAGCTAGCAATCCGTTCGTGAATCTTAAGAAGGAATACAAAGGTATCTACTGGCAAGAGGAGCTAATCCCCTTTTTCCAATCGGTAACCCTTCCAAAAGACAGCACCACTGTTCAAACATGTTATCTTGAACTTGCAAAGCAAGTCAAGGCGAAGCTTGGGAAGGTGGATGATTACTTCAACAAGCTTGCAGATGCAATGGTGACTTGGATCGAAGCATGGGACGAGCTTAACCCGTCTACCTGATTAGCCAATGGCTCCACCAAGTAGAATTTTTTACTTATAGTTAAAGATTCTAATTTGATAGGTAGTGTCGGAACCCTCGTCCAAGCTTTTTAGCTTCTAAAAGCTTAGACATCTCAGAAAACTTTATTTTCCCAGTTGAGGACCGTATTCTTGTTTGCATCGAAGATCAGGACCACATTCTTGTTTGCATCAATTACTTGTATTTCAATTAAGTATTAATTATTGATGACAGGCTTTTAGAAGATAAGTGTTCAACTTTATTTGTTTAGGATTTCCTGTTTGTACATTTTATGATTTTGGATCTTGTTTTTGAACAAGGTCAAGTGAGTAGTGTAGGCAAATGGCTTGATTGCTGTCTTGCACGTATAAGTTATCTATTAAGGGAAATTGCATGATTAGTCCCAAGCCTATTTTTTGGGTTGTAAGTTGGTCTAAACCATTTCATTTATAGTTACATAATCTCAGTCACCACAATGGAAGTAGCTTAAATATATCTTAAATCGCCATTGGGCCATCGTATGTCTAGTTCTAAAGAAGTTAGATTTTGTTTCACTTGTTTGGAGTGGTAATAAGTCAGGCAAATTTATATGATGATTATGTGGCGATTTATTAAAGATTTGTAGGGATGACAACGGTTCGGGGTTGGTTCTGTCAAAACTATAACTGCACCACCAAATTTTTTGCCACACCATAACCACGTAAGTCGGTTCGGTTCGTATCTCACTTTGGTTTGGTTAATAACTACAAAAATAAATTATTTTTCATAAGTCTAAACTCCAACCGTCAAATTGAAAAAAAAAAATTATGAAGAAGTCAATAAAAACAAAAACACAATACTAAGCAAATTTAGCAAATAATATCACAAATGAAAATGCAAACAATATCCCAACTTCCAAATGCAAAATAGAGAAATGCAAATGACAATAACTACAAAAATAAAAATTGTTTGACAGATATATGAAAAATGAAAATAGAAATTAAAAAATAATTCTTCCATGCTGGATTGGTAAATTACCAAGCTCCCGCAAACAATATAACCCAAAATATATGTTGAATTTTGTAATTTCATTAATAACATCAGCAAAAAGCCACATTAATTCTATAACCAAATTAATAATTCGATTCTCTATTTCTTATGAACATAGAGAAACTGGAAAACGCATAAATTAGCAAGCAAAACAAACTAAAAATCACATTTTCCGGGTCACGCATCATATATTTAAATAATATTATAAAGAAAATGCAATCAAGTATAATGTATCTTGACTTTGTTGAGTTGTACATGGAAGATGGTTTGAAGCCAATGAACGCAGAACAACTCAATGAGTGTGCTCACAAGATGGTAAATTTTATTGCTAATTACTACAATTTGAAGTTGAGGTACAAGCAGCAGAGCACCGACGAATCTGATTTGATTAATTGGTTGAGTAGACGAGTGTTTTGTAAGTTTGATTTTCAATTTTCAATTTTAACGTGTAGGGTTAGAGTTAGGTTATTGAGTTAAGGGTTTACTAGTAATGTTAATTATGCTAGAATTTTGGGGAAGCCCAATTGTCAAAATTGCCTAATTAATTTGGGAAAAATTCACAACTCAGGTTCTATCTATCCCAAAATAAAAAATCAGGCCTTAAAGTTTAGAATTGCAAAAATCAGGTTTTTCATGAATTAAATAATTATATTTCACAATTATTATATTAATTTAAATATTTAACTGTAATATAATATAATTAACCTACCCCACCCCCACATACCTCCGTCTCCACCACCCACACTGCTCCAGCAACTACTCCGATGACCGGCGATTACTCCAGCGACTGATCTCCGGCCACGCTTAATTTCGGCGACTACTTCAATGACCGATCTGCCGCCGCTTAATTCCGACGACTGCTCCGATTCCGACAATTATTAAGGTCACGATAATTGTTAAGGTCACAGTTATATGCAATTTGATCACAGACATCTTATTAATTAGTTAAAAATTTAATTTTCAATCAAAACTTATCAAATTAATGGATCACAAATTATTTCGAGGTCACAGGGTTATATTTTCAATCACAGAGCAACGAATTTTGAGGTCACAGTTACCATATAGATGGTCACATACACCCAAGCACCCGTCCCCCATCGCAGTGCACCACCAATACTTGCTCACAGGTCACAGATCGACCAAATAGATGGTCACAGACACTTCGTTCCATCCACCACACCCGTCCCCTAATCCCAATACACCAACAATACTTAGTCGCATGTCACAGATCGACCAAATAGATGGTCACAAACACTTCGTCCCATCCGCCATACCAGTCCCCCAATCCCAATACACACCAACAACACTTGGTCACAGGTCACAGACCAACCAAATAGTTGGTCACAGACACTTCGTCATATCCGACGCTGACCCTAATCCCTAAAACACCCATCAACAATAACACCACCAACACCCACCACCATCGCCACCTGAACAGCACCACATCAAACAACATTAAGCTGGGAAATCTCGACATTCCAGCAAACACAGAGTTCAATTTGCCAATATGGGGAGAAGATGCAAATGAATTCAATCCACTGAGATTTACTGAACCCCACAAGCTTTTCCGAGAATCAAAAGACTGAATAATAATATAACCACGATAAGAGAACCAGTCAACTCCTTGTTACTCATTTTAACCTTTCTCCGTCCAACTCCTCACAAGCCCACTAATTCGAATATGTGCATTTCCACCATAACCAATAAACAGCAATAAGATACCTAGAAGGAATGTCAGTAGCAAAAACTGAAACTTGAAAAAAAAATAAAAAAAAAATAATAATAATAATAATAATGCACCGCAAGCATTTGGTCTATTATTTCCCATTTGGTTTAGGAGAGGAAGCAGTAGGGAGAAAGGTAAAGAAAAAAAGGGAGGGGGACGCTGCTGCAGCGACGTTGCGGCGAGCTGCGAATCGCAACAGAGGGAGGGGGAGGTGAAGGAAGGAGGCGGCGGGCGGAGGTGTAGGTGGAGGCGGCGACCGATTGGGAGAAATGGTGAGAGGAGAGAAATGAAATGGATTAGGGTAGGGTTTGGATAGATTTAGGGTTTTATATTTAAAATAAATTTGGTGGGGGTAGATAGTAGGGTGGGTATATAGGTTAATTTAATTTTATAATATTATTATTAATATTAATTGTGAAATTAAAACCTGATTTTTGATTAAATAAAGTTTAAACCTGATTTTCATGAACTTGAAACTAAACTGGTTTTATGTAAGTATCCCATTTCAAACAAAAGACAGGCCACAATTGAGGCCCAAAATATGGACGCTGGTCTGCTCGTCGTCTCTTCTAGTATTGTTACTGTTGTCTACTCGCCGTTTACGTGGGTGAATACAAGGCAGGCGAGGTAGGTGGTAGTTGGTAACTGCAGTCGAAGAAGGGGCGCTGCCTAGTGGCGGTTGGAATCGGGATTTGTATTGTGGGTGTTGGCGGCTCAATGGAAGTGGTTCGGGTGGTGATTGCTAGCGTCGCAGTTGGCTCGAAATTGGAGAAGGCAAAGGGTAATTTCTGGGTGTTTCCGGAGATGGCAGGTAATGGGTTATTGGAGGGTGGTGACTGTGTGGGGGGATATTATGGTTGGATTTTGTGTGAAAATTATTGTCGATGGGAAGTTGGGGTTGCAATTTGTGAAAATTAACCGATAGGTTTTTTTTTTTTTTTGGAAATTTGTAGTTTGTGATGGGGGAATAGATGGAACTGTGGAATCATGGAATTGATTGTTTCTCAATGAAGGTGGCAATGAAGAATTGTGGCTACTGTTACGTCTTCACAGCAGGGAAACCCGTATGCAAGTGAAACCAAAAAAATAAAAACCCAGGATTTAGCTTTGATACCAATTTGATGTAGAATTAGTAGGGAACTATTATCAAACTAAAAAATCAAAGCAAGAAAACAAAGGAGAAAGAAACAGGATAAAGAAGCTGTGAAAGAAAGGAAAAGTAAAAAGAAACGTGGCAGCAGTCAATTATAATTTTACTCCTTAATTCAACTACAACGAAAATCTAATAAATAGCAAAAAAAAAAAAAAACAAAACACCTAACTTGAAGGGTTTGGACAAACTCGCTACTACAAGCACAATAATATAAAATATAAATAACAAGTCTAATAACAATAAAATAAATCTCGAACTCGATGATGTCCTCATCAATTGCTATCAAAATATTTCTTGCAATATGTAGCCACGGAAACAATAACATTGCCGAAATACATTAGAGGCATAGAAGTGCCTCTGGGATAGCATTGTGAGCTAGCTGCCTCAGAGACGTAATTTGAGACGATTGCGAAGGACTTTTAATCTCTTTGTTCATCTATCTTTCAGTTGCCGCTGAAAATAAAGCAAAAAATGTTAATACCGAGACTGTTTTAAGCACTACCATTCACTTTACTCAATATATTATAAAGTTCTTTGTGATCCCATTAGTTGCACCTCCTCTTGTCGAGACACGTTTTTTGTTACTTTCGGAATTAGTTTGGGTGTACAAATAAGTAATGAAGGGGGGAAGAAATACACTTCTCTAGTTTCGTATTAAAATTTCATAAATTCTGAATCAGAAGGAACACGGAGTAAAGAGAAATGGAAAGAAGAAAAGAATAACTTACTCTTGGCCCATGATTGGCTACTTCGGACCGCTCAGCTTAAAAAACGTCTCCAGGTCTCTCGTAACGAATGGACGTACCATATTTTCTTCCATAGCAGACATATTTTTAAGCTGAAAAATATTAAGGTTAGCACTCAGGAAATAACGAGTGCAAAAGTACAGTGATAAGTGTAGTTTTTATGCTTTCCTATTCCTAGTGTGGCTGACTTCTATTAGATATTAAATGTGATGTGAAGGTTCAGTTTAGAAGATGTTACCACGTGGATCTGATCCGACGATCAATACGTTGTTTGGACAGTATAAATAGTCTTCATTTGTATAGATTTGAGGACGGTTTTTTGGATCTTGGTAATCAAACAATAAAACG